CTGGTCTTGACAAAGCACCTTCAAGTCTACCAGGGCAAGACAGAAGAGCATAGGCCTACAGTCTCTATCTGCAAATAAGAAATGAGTGATTTACTTGAGACTGTAGGAAAACTACGTCCCAAGTCTTCACAAATGATTCTACATCCCAGTCTAGAGCCCCAGTCATAGCAGGTTCAGTTTTTGTTCCTGGTCAAGCCATCTCATCAAACAGCAGCAAAACATGACAGCTCAGCTCTTTTGTTACTACTTCTTTCCCAGCTGTGCAATGCACAGAGGCGCTTGCACAGCTGAGGGAGATCGTTGTGGTGTTCAGTGCAGAAGGTCATTTTAGATTTCTCTTGCACCCCTGGCCCTACATCATGCTTTCTTTCTCCTCCTTGGCCAGGACTGTATTTCATTTTTCTGTAGTGCTGTGCTACGTGGTGATGTGCAGATGTATGAAGCTGCTACAAGGCATCCACATCATATTCACCAGTGCCCACTGAGTTCCTCACCTCCGTCCATCTGTCCATACGCAGCACAGTTTGCTGCTGTGGAAAGGGCACCATCTGAGCTCTGTGCAGCTCAGGAGCAAGGAATGTGTGGCACCTGGGAAGGGGAAGGGAGCAGTTTACTTTGGAGATTTCCCAACTGGAGCTGAAGGCTGGAGGTCTAGGCATGCAGGACATTTCCCAGACAGCAGAACAGCCCAGGTGCTACAACTGCATGAGCTGAATGGGCGCTTTTGTTGTAGGTGATGGTTTGAAGGGGTTGGCAGGATTTTATCCTTTTTGCTAAATTCTTTTTCAAAATTCAGGGTAGCTGTGCAGAGCAACTCAGACCCTTCACGTCTGGGTAGGATGCACCAAGCCCAATGCTAAGTTATTTCAAAGTGTTACCTAAGAAGGTATTAACATGATCTGTAAAGGTCCTAGGCAGTGTTCACACCTATCTCGTATAGCCTAATTTAGGGGTGCACAGAGACAAGAATGGGCTTTGTGCCCAAGGAGGAATATTATCCTTTGGGGGATATGGAACTAATATAATCTCATATAGCACTGGAGCCAAAAGAGGCAGAGCACCCTGGACCAAATGAATACGTACATACTGGAAATCCCATGATTTGAGAAGGACACAACAAGGATGAATTAACCCAATGTGCTTTGAATTTAAAATAGATGCCAAATGGTAACCATTCTCACTTGAAAATAGCTAACATCTCTCTTGGAGACCAGCATGTTCCAATGAAGTGCATAAAGTTATGATTTTTTTTCTTTCCAGCTGAATAATGTAAGAATAAATTAAAAGCAGGAAACCCTGGTAAGTGCTACAAGGATGTCCATGCTAAAAACCAATCAATCCCCAACTTCCCTGGTGCACTTTCTCAACACCTTCTTCTTCATTAATCTTGCTTTCAAAGTTCTGAAACAAGTTGCTGCCAAGTCTGCTATCTGGGGGAGCCAGGTGAAAATTTTAATACTATAGATGGTTGGAATATGCATTGCAACTTTGTTAAAATGCAGGGAGATTGCCCCAAAAAGCAGTTATTACCCATTTTATACAAGACAACAGTGAGCTTCAGATTCTTTACTTCTGTTTTGTCTTTGAAGAATTCATTTCTGAAAAGATTGCTTCCAAATTCCATGCAGTTATTTTCAGCCCCCCAAACACAAACCGTGAGGCCTTCCAGTTAGTAAATGCTAAAATCTGGAGTCAGCTTCTGGAATCGGTTCTTCTGGAGCACATTACAGTCCTTCTGACTTTAATAGGGCCTTTTGTTTTAGCTCTTACTGATACCAGTAGGAGCTTTTCAATGTTTAAGCCCCTGAACCCAAAATACCATTATTTCCAGATAAAATATGAATCCTTACCACAGCCTGTGAAAGATTTAGGAGTAGCATTTTAAAAACAAATTGATCCTTAAACTCCTAACTTTTATTCAGAAACTTGGTAACCTGCAAGCACCTAGGAACCCTAGCGCCCACCAGAAAAGCTTGTTGGACACCTAAATTCATGCCTCAGACTGGGTGGCAGCTTCTCCTTCCAGATGGTTTTAGATATGACCACAATCACCAAACTGAGAATGGCAGAGGAAGGTGCTTCCCTGAAACCCAGCCCTAGGGGCCTATTTACCAAAGTTGGGAAGAGGTTACTGCTACAACCTCATCTCAGGTTCTCCTACTGACCTGTTTATGCAGTTTCCAGCTCAATAAGCTCACCTCGTACATGCCATTTGTGCGTGCATATGTTTCCTCCTGAGCTGTCAAGGAAGCCTGAATAACTAACTTAGCTTTGTGGCTTTTTCCATGTACTTAAAAGCATTGTAATGTCAACCTAAGCTTCATTGCCTTCCCAAGATTTAGGAGGAAAAGTGACATCTGTTGATCCATCTTTCAAACTTAATACCATGCTGATAGAGGAATTATTGGCTTTGGCCTTTATTAGATAGATGCCTTTGATATGGGACTATCCTGCAGAGGGTATAGATGAGGATAAGCTAGTTCTCTGATTTTCCTAAAAGCATGGAAAGCTGAAGATGAGCGTAGGCCAGATGTACTTTTCTCTTTACGCTGAAGTGAGGGCTCTGAATTGCTATGAGTTGGTAGAATCTGTCCAGCTGGAAGATTTCCCCAGCAGGGATGAAAGCTAGTGTCCTGAACCAGTGTTCAGCCGTGACATTCACTGCTCATTTGGGACACTTTGTTTTATCCTGATTTTCAGCTGCTCTAATGTCCATGGGAGACCGAAAAAATCTGAACTAGTTATGTCCAAGGTAAAATGTTAAGATCTGAACACAGGAGTGGTGCTGACCCTGGAGGTATTAACATGATAATTTCCACCAGCTACATCTTTTTCTGTTTCTCACATACCTGTTACTTGCTTCTAACATCAGCAGGGAGCTGACTGCCTAGAAAGTGCATACCAGCACAGGTAGGAAATGGGTAGGACTTCACCGGCAATGAGATAATTCTTAAATCACTTGACTTTTATAGTGAAACAAGCTACAGATGTATGTTTACATCAGTATTTCCTCTTCCTTCATTTCAAATGCACAGAGCAGTTTGATGTTCATAAAAACAGGAGACAAAATGCAAGGTCATGTCCTTGGATGCATCTCCATGGATCCTGGTGTCTGGCTGCTAGTGCCAAACGGCCTCTGTGCACAGCACCCCATTCAGCTCTGCCAACACATTTCTTGCTCCCCACTAACTTATGATGTCACTTGGAGCAAAGCTTCTCAATATCTTACTTTTATTGCAGTAACTGAGCTGCAAAGCTGGAAATAAAAGCAGCAGTACCCTGGCTTCTCAGCTGGTATAAAAAGGAGAGCTGCATCGTTTTATGCCAGCTGAGGATGTGGTTCAAGCTGTTCAGGGAGCTTGGGTGTCATCCCCCCACGCCCCCCACAAGCTGTTTGCCATAATCTCAAAGACATTAGAAAAACGTTAATATCAGCCAGTTGGGGGCGGGAGTGAAAAAAACTGAAAATTTAATATAGTTGCAGAGCACTTTTTGTTTTTTCCATTAGCTGATATTCTCAGGTTACCAGAAAGGAATTTGGTGTACTTCTCCACATTCACTGCTAGTGAAACAAGAGATCCAAAGATCTTAGAATAAATGACCAGGCCAAGAACTAGCAGTGCTTTTGCTGGGGTTTAGGTTAGGGCCTTTACAAATTCAAGGCTGATTAGGCATCTATTTCCTGGTCCTTGGCAATAAGACTAGGAAGTGCAGGAAATTCATTGTCTTCAGCTTGCCACTGCTGGCTTGCTGCAATAGCTATACATCACGCAAAGGACTGACGGGCTCAAAATGTCCATGTCAATCTGCAGCTGCCTTTAATCATACACAGATTTATGAGACACTCCCCCACACCCCCTGTGGAGATCTAGAAATTGCGCTTTGTTTTGACTTGACATACATTTTTCCATTTAAGATTAAGAAGTATGAGCCCTATTAGACTGCAGCTATGAAGCAGAAGGGGTAAAGCTCTGTCTGAAATGGAGGAAATGATGATGTAATTTTGAACCGTTAAGGACTGAAGGGATTAAAAGATTTGGAGTAGGATTTGGAAAGTCTCTGGTGTTGCATACGGTAGGGCTATGTTGCCTGCCTCACCATCTGGACAGAGAAGGCCTTTTTCCTATTTACTGGTTTGAGGTTGTTGTTATAGCTGTGCCGCTCACGAGCACCACTGTACTTAATACTCCATCATCATTTCCATCATAAACCCTTTTTTCCCCCCTGAGGGACTACAACGTCACAGTAAATATTTGCTGCAGGGTAGAGCTTGCCACTAGAGCCTGGTCTCAGGCCGAAGAGCAGCAGGGACACATGGCAGGATCCGGCTTGGAAGCTTTCCACCTTATAGTAACTTTACACTTACCTCATTTGCTAAAATGAACATTTCTAGCCATTATCAACAACCATAGACCGAAGGCTGATGCTCCTTTTCCATGGGTTTGGACAGCCCGCTGTCCAGTCTGCATGAGGATTTATAACCCAACCAGTTTAGTGGTAGGACGTGTGCCCATGGTGACCACGGCCAACCACCCCTCACACAAGGGGGTTTGTAAAACCTCAGCAGTCTCAGCAGCATGCTAGTGACTCCAGGCAGCTGGCTTCTCGGTCCTGTTTTGTGCTTTCTGATGCACCAAGCAGGATCTGCATGAGGAGGGAAGTGGCTGTACTTACTTCTCAGCCTCCCCTAGGCCATTCTGCTCTTACAAAAGAGGTCCAAAAGAACAAGGATGAAATCATCCTGTGCTATTGCACTATTGTTCTGTACTGCTCGAGTGCTATAGTTGGTCCTTGCCATGGTATCTTCCAGCAGCTCAGTAGCACACAGGATCTCAAGATTTTTCTGTGTATTAAAAAATGAATTTCTTCTTCATCTCCCTAATTAAAATCTCTTTATGAATTCAAATCCTCCCTATCAACCATATTTAGTTTCTCTGAACAGAGGGGCAATCAAATAACAGGTGGGACATCACCTGGTCCTATTGCAGACACCTACTCACCATTATTCTTTCTCCCTTCTGTGTTCTGTTCTCAGGGTCAGTCTCTGACCATGTCTGGCTGCAGCTCAGGGCCCTTGTTGCCTTTTCTGTTTGCTCCCTTGCTCAGTCCACTGTTTTAATATACAAACACAAAATTTTGATCAGAGCTGTGCACTGTCCTGCTTGTACAGTGCCTTTAAGATTTTCACAGAAAATTAAGTTTTCCAGTTACAGATACATTCATATCAAGTACATGACAGGGATTTCAAGCTCAGAAGACATTAACAAATGGCAAAACAATGAATTATCTATGAGTCTCTAAGAGCAGAAGTGATGGTTTGACAAGCATTTCTTGCCAGACATTGAAGTATGAATATACCCTATAAGCTTTCTAAAAATATGGAAATTAAGTATATATGCAAAAAAGCAGGCATATCCCCTACTAAAAAAATAATAATTAAAAAATTAGAAACTGCATTGCAAATATACTTTCAAAGCTTTCTTTGTAATTATTTTGCTATAAAGAAACAGAGCGTGAATTTGTGGTCTGTCCCCAGTAGTTTTAATCACAAAGCAAGCAAATAAAATAAATAAAATCAGCTATTCAGACATGCTGAAATAAATTCAAGGGCCTGATAAGTTTGCAGGAATGATCACAGATGCAAATCAGAAGTTTTGTGTTTTGTTTTTTTTTTTTTAATATTTAGAAAAAAAGCCAAAATACATCAGTCTAATTCAAGAGGCTTCCAAAGATCTGCTTCATCTTCCTCTAAAGTCAGAAAAAAATGAGTGCAATATGTTCTGATAACAACTTCCATGAGCTTCTCATCTGAATAGAAATAGCACAGGGACTGTCTCACCAAGGCAATTGTAAATCAAAAATGAAACAGTTTTAGTGTAACCTCTGGGAGCTGAAGAGTGGGCCATACCATTATGGCACAAAAGCTAGCCATAAAAACAGAGCTAAATGAATCTTAAATGTCTTTTTTTTTAAAAAAAAAAAAAAAAAGATTAATTTTACTTTCAGATATGGGCAGTGATTTACAGGATTCATATTCCTGTATTATTGTTATTATTACTTTATTACACAGCTGATCCAGAGTCAATTGAGACTCCAAAACTCTCTGAATCTGTGCCGCTTGTTGCAGGGATTAATGTAGGAACTAACACCAAGAAAGCAAAGTCATTTCTTTCATATTTCTAGACATACATTTGTGCTGGGGAGTGAGGTGCTGCTTTGTAGGGAAGAGGGTATAGCACTGTGCCATAGGCAGGCAGGTATGGGTTTAATTTCTCCTGAGCACAACAGCCTCCATGGGTCCCAGCAGGATCGTGGTGAGGTTGCCCAAACAACAGCACTGCAGCACAAAATACACTTAAATACATCCTGCTTGGTTCCTGAAGTACTTCTCTGATGGGTAAGAAGGTGGTAAGGGAACATACCCTAAGTAAGCCAGAGAACTTGTGGATGCTGTCCCACATTTCTGCTTTGGTTCATATGAATCCAGTGATCGTCTTAATTAAAAAAAGGACTGGGCGACAAGTACACACACATGGATATAGTATTCTTATTTAGAAAGGCCAGAAAACCATAATTCCCCAGATGAAAAATATTGGGCCAAATCCAGAAGTCCTCTTTGCTTAAAAATATTCCACAAAGAATAAGAGTGTCTGTCGAGGGATTCCAAGCCTTATGCTTTAGCAAAGCTGAAATAGTATGGCAAAATAATTTTATAAGTTGCCCTTATTAACGCTGTTAGGGAATAAAAGTATAGGACCAAAGCCAGTATTGCTCACCAGTGCCTGAGAACCAAGTTTTATCTTTTTTTTTTTAATTCTCCCTCTGTGCCATGCTCAGATATAGACAACCAGAAGCAGATTTCAGTGCTTCAGACAGTTCTGCAGGTCTGCTGTGCTCATTAGGAAAATAGTGGAAGAGTATCTCAAGATAAAACCTTGCCACAGGTTATGCTTTCAAGATTACAATTTGCAACTGACTTCTGGGCTGAGAACAACCCATCTCACCCATACTACATTTTCAATCCAGATAGATGTGCTGCACCATCACTTTGTCCTTACGCCTGGAAGGACTTTGGTCCCTTGTTCCCTGAGCCCTTATGGACAGGTGGAAACTTGCCATCAACCTGGGGGAAGGTTCCCCTTCGATTCCAGATGCATGAAATTATATCTGTAAATTCTGGTCAGTATTGCCATTGCTGGCTTTCGCAGGGTTGTTTAAAAGGGCTTTTTCCCATTGTTTTTCCAAGGACCTGCCCAAAAATGTTTCCATCCAAACCACCATCACGCAAAACTCCAGCAGAGGAGCAAAGAACAATAGCACACAAGGTTCCAAGTTCAATAGCAATTTCAAGGATTTCAGCTGTCAAAGTTAATTAGTGGCAGTTTCTCTCAGGCCTCCTTTGCTTAACTCCTGAAGGACAACATTTGGAAAACTGCTGGTTGAGAGGGCAAGAGAAGTCAAAAATATCAATTTTAGAGCAGCCAGGAATTAATAAGAAAGCAAAACTAATATATGGAATGTGTAGTGAAGTAAAAATTTTAGACAAAAGAAAAAAAAGAAAATTAACTTTTATTTCCCCCCCTTTTTTTTTTTTTTTAAAGAAAGAGGCATGAGCCTAGAGGGTGGGGTTCAGAGTCTGGATTTTGGGCAGAGTTATTTTAGAAAGCTGAACACAGTCCAACTGTTGTTCTAGGGCAAGCACTTCCCAACTTCAGGGTATTTTAAAAAAGTCTGGATCCTGATCTGAAATCTGTGGCTTGGGCTTGTTTCTGAACATTTCTTTTTCATACAGAGAAGAGGAGCCATCATATGGTAAGTCACTGCAGAAAACCCCTGGAGCTCTGCTTGCTTACAGGAATCTACCTTGGCATGCCCTCCCTTAAAAAGGTGTGGTTGCTAGATAAAGGACCAAAAGCCAGATGAATTGGGAAATCCAATGTTCCCAAACACTGATACACAAACCGTTTTTGGATGATACACCAGAGCAGCTCCTGACCCTCCAGCACAAAGCCCCTGACACCCTGAGCAAGGCCCTGCACACACACATCAGGAGCCACCATCTTGGTGCAGCCTCCTCCCTCACAGCTCAGGGGAGCTTTTCTTCCCCAGCAGCTACCAATCTGCATCACGGGGACTGTGGGTCTGCTGCCATCGCCACCTCGAGAATAATAAGGCCCAGGACACAACATCCTTGGCCCAGCCCATAGCAATCCTCATGACAAGGGGCATCCCCACCACATGAGCTGATGCAGGACATGCATCCCCTGAGCCAAATGAGGCCTCACAAGAGGGCACACATCAGTCCCCTTAGAGGGGTCAAATGGAGGAAAACACATCACAGGAAAGAAAGTTGGATTTCAGCCTCCAACACGAGAAAGGCTGTATTCTGCAAGAGGTTAGCAGCCCAGCCAGGCATTGCTCACTATGTGCAACCCTCAGAGTCAGCTTTTACCCCTGCAACAGACAAAGTGAAATGGATTAAGCCTGTGGTACAGAAGGAACAGCTGAACGAGCAGGACACAGCAAGACCTCATGCTTCTGCCTCTCCCAGTGCTGAGCTCAGCATCTCACAACATTTAGCACACAGACACACTGCTGCCCCTGACCACAGGCTTGTCCTCAGGCCTGCCCCACAGGAGCACCCTCCACAGCTGCCTCTTTGCTCCCCACACTCACCCACACTTTGCAGCACATACCATGGCAGGACAGGAGGCCTGAGCCCTAGTTCGCCACCAGTTCCCAAGGCTGACCTATACAACATAGTACTTCACTCTTTCTGCCTTCATTTTAGTGCATTCATGTCCTGTGAATGGCATCACAGATGGAAACAGACCAAAATTAGGGTCCATGCTGCAGAACACAGCAAAGGTAGCTCGGTGGAAATCAGGGGAATATTCAGAATATCAGCACTTTTACGTTACCTAAGATAGAGCATTCTCTGTTGCTGGGAGTATTCCTAAGGCCTCTGTCCACCTTACAAACAACAACAGCTGAAACATGGCTAAATCCCCCAGTACCTCCAGCAGAGGAAACATGAGGCCCTTGTTTTCAAATAAAATACTCACCACAGCCTCTCTGTCAGAGCTCAGGGTCTTATATAAATGAGGAGGGTAAGCTGACAGCAGGTGGAGATCTTCAGGCTAATTACCTCTGATAATTTGCCCGCAGGTGCTGTGCAGGTGGTCTGAGCCCTGAGGCACTGACCTAGGAAAAGTGATGGCAATTCTGCATCCGCCACTGCTCCTGTCTGGGCTGTAGGCCTGGGATGCTGAAAAAAAAAATAAAATATCTAGATTCCACATTTTAATCCCTGGATAACAGTTTGGGGTTGTTTTTCTGAATGTCTTGAAAGAGGAAAAAAAAAGTTTGATCCCATGGAAAAGTTTATCTGTTCACTTTAGTAGCTTGCTACGTGTCAGCTTTGGAAGAGCCCCAAAGTGGAGCCCTTGCTCACAGATTAGAAGGGCATTCAGCAGCTAAACCCAGTGGCATTTAAAAAACAAAACCAAACACAACACACATTCTTTCCTGAGGCTGACAAGGCAGCTAGTGGGAGTCGCACCCGCTTGAATAACTGCCGTGTGATGTTTTAAGATGTTCTTGGGTTTTAGTTAGTGACAAACCCTCTGGTTCCTCCTGAAATGTGCTCCAATTCTCCTCCAGTCTGCTGACTTGAGGACTACTGTGGCTGCATTAAGGTTTACAGCTGTTTAACAGCTCTTTGTTCTAAGCCAAATTCTCAAGACATATGAACCTTAAGAGTCACAGTAATTTCTGAAGTGAAGTAGTAATTTATACGGGTGAGAACTAGATTTTGCATTATCAGCAAATCTCATTTCTGGAAACAAAAACGCTACACCACTATTCTATGCTTTGAAGTACAGGAATATGTTAGGAAATAAGGTTATTTATTTATACTACATGCTCTACTGGCTTCTAAAATCAGATACATGCCTGTGATCAAGTGAGAGGTTTATCATGCATTTTTTAATGCTTTATGCACCACGCTTGGGTTATATCCCAACAAGCAATAACAATCCCTTCCACACCCAGGGAACACACTGGTCAGGCCTCAGTGTAGACTGATCCCAAGTCTACTGAGAAACTA